TCCTGAGACGAAGTGTCTACGAGGACCTGTTGATAACAACTCGAGTTGGTGATGAATATTCCACCGACTCCGAGAAGAATATTCGGTGGAGCCTGTGAAAATGGTGTTTGGGTACAACTACGAGATATATCACAGATATAAACATATATTTGGTGGTAAAGATGTAGTATCTCTTATAAAAATAGGAAGACTAAGATATGCAGGACATCTGGCAAGATCACAGCAGAATAACCCTCCTAGAAGAATCCTCATGTCACAACCTGTCAAACCGTTTTGTTTGTTTTTGTTTTGTAAATTTTGCCTTTCGTTCCTTTCCCGATATTTTTATTTCTCCATATTGTTTCATTTGGGCAGATCGTAGCTCTGTTTGCTCTATTTACTTAATCTTCCACTTCAGTTTCGGCTTTCCGTAGCTAGATAATGTGAACCCTAGATATTTAAACTCCATCACATCTTCTATTATCTGACCTTCCAACTCCAATTTATATGTTAGCAAATTTGCTGTTGTAACCATGCATTTTGTCTTTATTTGAGGAAATCAACATGCTAAATTTTCTGGCTTTTATATTAAATTGGTGCAGCATACGTTGTAAATCATCTTCACTTTGAGACAGTAGTATTGGTCATCTGCATAGCATATTATTTTAAGTTGTTTTTCTCCTATTTGGTATCCTTTTTAGTTTTTCCTTTTTTTGTTATTTCATCCATGATCAGGTTGAACAATAGAGGACTCAGAAAATCTCCCTGTTTTATCTTATTGCCAGCTTCAATAGGGTCGATTAGTTATTCTTCTACTTTTACTTTTAATGTGTTGTTTTGGTAGATATTTTTTATTGCTTTAATTATTCCTGGAGGTATTTCTCTTGCGTAGTGTAAGTGGATAACGCCTTTTAATTTGACCCGCTCAAATGCCTACGTAAGGTCCACCTAATATAGATATGCCGGTTTATTGTATTCCAATGATTTCTCTGGCACTTGCCTCATTATAAATATAGCGTCGGTGCTTGATCTTTTCGACCTAAAACTTTGTTCTTCTTCTGGTAGTGTTATAATTTCATTTAGTTTATTTGTTATCACTTTGGTTGTTAATTTTAATGTTGTGATTAATAAATTAACTCCTCTGTAATTTTCCGGGTCCGAATTGTCTCCCTTTTTGAAGAAATTGATTAGAATGTTTGATCGCTATTCTTGAGGAATTCTGTTTTGTTCTATTATTTTTTGGATTAGTTTTAATAGTTTGGTCAGATCTGGTTCTCCGTATTTTAGGAGTTCGTTCGGTATTTTGTCCTCTTCTAATGATTTTCTATTTTTTATTTCCTTAATGCTTTCTTTACCTCGTTTTCCTCAATATTCATTTCTTCGTTTGTGGTGTTGGTTCACCTCTGATGGTGGTTCATTATCGTCACCGTTGGCGAATAGGGATCGAAAGTAGTCTACCCATGTTTCCTTCTGAATGTGTTCTGAATGTTTCATTTTTATAAGTTCGTTCATATCTTTTCTTTGTCCTCTGATCATTCTCCATATTTCTTTTTGTGTTTCGTAGAAGTCGTGTTCCATCTGGTTTGAGAAGCTTTTATTTTGTCTAACTAAAGTATTCATTTCATTTCTGATTCGATTACAGTGGTTGTATGCCTGTTGTGTTTATTGTGTTCTATATTGTAAGAAGGCTTTCTTATTTTTTTTCGACATTTTGTCTTTACTTCCTCTCTAAACCATGGTGTTTTCTTTTTGTGGATCATCTGAATACAAAACTTGAACAAAGGAGTGGAGACAAAAATAAAATTTAAAGTTTTGAAATAGGTTTAAATGAATTTTCGTTTCATATTTTTAAGCATTTTCCGATTCTCATTGTTTTTGAACCATTTTTTTTTTTTCGTATAAAATAAGAACGAGTAAATTGATTGAAAATTCCTTCGTTCAATCACGAAACAATAGTATAAAGATGAAATTTCAATATTCAAGCAAAATCGGTAGATTTTTTCTTAAAAAATCATGCCTGCCGCGTGGTAAAACAAAGTTTCGAGAAAAACGCGTTTAAGAATTTAAACTGACCGCCTGCGCCTGGTCTGCGCGCGTTTCGACCGCGTGGTGATAAAATCTCTAAAAATCCGATAATATTACTTAAATTTATTTTAAATTTGGTGTGAATATTCTAGAAGTACTGAACTTTCATAAAATATGGAATAAAACAATTGTTTTTGATTTTTTGAAAATACGCATCCCTGCTTCATCAGACATTCGGGCTGATACAAATTCAATCTCGGAAAGTCCAACGAATGTCTCCTAAAATTTGATCACTGCGGTGGTTAGCGTACAGAGGTGAGAGGTGCCACCTGCTTTCGTGGCCATGAACGAAAACGATTTAATAATATCGTTTTCTGGCCTCTGTGCTATTTAAAATATGTGAAAGATTATATCTTTTAAAAAGACCCAAAACAAACAAGTTTAATATGAAAATAGCTAAATTTTGAACATTTCGTGCGCACAAGATGCAAATATAAAATTTTTTTATGGTCTCGCTCTTTCCTACTTGTTTCCTTACTCCCAGTCTCCATAACCCTTTGTCTGTCTTCTTTGATGTCTATTTGAAGATGCATTATACAGCATGAAAATAGAAATCGAGGTGTTGTAATTTATAAAGACTAATGTCATAAAAGAATCTTTTTAAAAATTTCTCCTGGAAAAGGCTCGTTAGCTAAATTGGAGGATTGGAGGATTCTAATTTGACACATACTCTGACCTTGAAAGAGCACCGAGTATATTGTGGTATAAGTATAGTAAAAAATTGCCAATTATTTGAAACATTACGTAAAATTAAAACATATAAGAACAGTTTATACAATAAATAGGAACACGTCTCATAATTTGCCTGACACACAGCATTCTTAAAAACAAACATGCACTACACAAAACATGTAATAAAAATATGTTGATATTTAAATTAAAAATATAAATAATTAATGGGTTCGACCGTACTTGATGGAAATTCATTTTATGTAACAATAAAACACTGAAAACTTTGTTTTCAAACTTCCACAAAATTTATTTTAAATCTTATCACTACAGCAGTTTCGGCTGATTGCCTTTCTCAAGTGATCTATTTTTGGCTTGGGTTTACAAATTTAGAGTCTCTAATGAAATAGGTTGAGGAGGGGAGAACTGTTTGTCTCAAGTTGGTCATTCAGAATTATATCTGTGTTTTTCAATTTGTTGATTTCCGTAGATTCTAACAAAGATAGCTTAAGGCCTTTATTTTGAATGTGAAGAATATTAAATTTGCCATTAAAAGAATGACTATTATCTAGAAGGTGAAGTGCGTATGTCGAATCTGTTTTTCTATTCTTGAAAGCCCTTTTATGTTCTGCTATTCGTTTATCAAAGTGTCTACCAGTTTGACCGATATAAGTTTTTGGGCAGTCGCCACATTGAAGTTTGTACACACCACTATTTACCTAAGTGTTTTTTATTTTGGCTCTTGTTATTTTTAATATTTTTCCCTAGGTTGTTATTTGTTCGGAAAGCTGGTGTTATTCCTTTCTTTTTTATGTGTTTGGCAATTTTTGATGTTATTTTGCCTGTATATGTAATCGAGCAGAAGGTACTTGATTTTTTCTCTGGTGGTGGAAATACTAATTTCAGGGCTTTCTTGTGTAGTTTTTGGTTTAACATTTTATTAATTGTTTATTCGTTGTATCCGTTGTTTACTGCTATTTGCTTAATTATATTTAATTCTGTTTCAAAGCTGTATTTTGACATCGGAATTTGTGTTAATCTATGTAACATACTATGATAAGCTGCCAGTTTATGTTGTGTTGGATGGGATGATGAATTGTGTATAGTCGTGTCAGTATGGGTAGGTTTATGAAATATGGAGAAATTCAAAATCAACAAAATCAATCCATAAATTTATTATATTTAAAAATTAGCAGTCTTCAAAACAAACATGACTTCTCCTTATCTATATTGAAATGTCTTCTGTATGCACTTTGTGATATTTAAGGCAGTCATTGGTGATGAACTAATAACACGCATATTTTCTAGACGCCTATAATTAGTACAGTTTATATTATTAGAGTAATCATCTGACTGCAAATTGGATCTGAATTCCTGAATTGTATTAATTTTTAAATATACATTCTTTATGTAACCATTTTTACTCCCGGCAATATTATTGTTAATATTTTCCAGTTTGATAGAGGTTTATGCAACTATTTTTATTATTACAGATTTTTACGTGCATCTGAATGAATTGATGTACGACTTTTAGTATAAATTAAGCTATTTTTCGATTATTTTTATTTGTTTGTCATTGAAATTTCATGTTATGCGTAAGTTCATTCAAGCTTTCGTAGTTTACAGCGTTTAAATTGTTACTTCCTTCATTTGCCTAAAGAACACTTCTCATTATAGTTTCTTTTATGCATTTCTGCACTGCTTGAAACTGCTTATCATTGCTGTCAACTGTGATTGCTAGAGCGTAAATTTGACAAACTCGAGTCATTGTTGTTTTGATTGTGGTAGTTGTGTGTTTTCTTAATTGGATGATCTGGGAATCCATCCTGTTTAGATGACTTTAATGCCACTTTAAAACGTGTGTTTTGTGGATGGCGGCACTGGATTGTTGATGGTCCGGGTGGTATTTTGGTGTTCTGTGGAGGAGAGCTTCTTCAGAGAGAGTTCAGAGGGTAACAAAGTATATGTACCCTAATTTTCTACTACTATTTGCCTTTACGTTCTTTTTGAATAATGGTTCATCGATATATTCCCAATAAATCTAAACAAATACCTTTTTGTTGAAAACCTTAAAATTAGCGTTCGAAATATCCTCTTACACTTGTACAGATCACACAACTACGCATTGTTAATAATATATGAACTCACAAACCCCTATTTCATAAAATGTAAATAAATATAATTAAATTCGTACTAGCATCAATACTAAAAATTAATAACGAATGTAAAATTGCAACCATATAATTTATAATTATACATTGTTTCAGATCGGACGTAGAATTTAGAACAACATGGCAACTGTGATAAATTCAACTCAAAGTATAGTGTCACGGGCCTACGACTATTATGTATGGACTCTATCTTTATCAGGTGGGTAAAATGATTATATTTGTTTGCTAAATTACAATAAAATATCTAATAAACAATTATTATCAGATAAATTTACATTAGCGTGTTTTTTTTTCTTTTGGTAAGGATTATTTATTCTGACGAAATGTACGTGCTAAGATATACATACATGGAAAAAATACTACTACTATCGGTTTACAGCGTTCTCCGACTCCTAACCGCCATTCTTCTCTATTCAACCATCTATCTATCTATCTAATTAGCCTTCTTCGGTCCATCGTTGGACATAGGCCTCCCCAATCCTTTTCCATTCTTCTCTGTCTGTCGCAACAGTCATCCATCTAGAGCCCACGTGCTTCTTGATATCATCTGCCCATCTCATTTGGGGCCTTCCTCTGCTTCGTTTATATTCCCGCGGTCTCCAATTTTGTTCCATCGGTCTTCTTTTTGTCTTATATTGTGTCCGGCAAATCTCCATTTCAATTTTGCAACTTGTCTAACATCCCTCACTTTTGTTTTCTCTCTTATCCACTCGTTTCTCTTCTTATCCATTAGTCTTATGTGCAACATTTGTCTTTCCATTGCTCTTTGGGTTTTTATGATTTTGTCCATGTTTGCTTTTGTAAATGTCCAAGTTTGGGAGCCATACGTAAGAACAGGGAGTACGCATTGATTATATACTTTGGTCTTAAGATGCTGTGGATATCTTTTGTTTTTAAGAATGTAGCTTAGTTTGCCAAATGCCGCCCATGCCAGTCTAACTCGTCTCTTGATCTCTGCTGTTTGGTTCTCTTTGTTAAGTTTTATAGTTTGACCAAAATATATATAATCCTTAACTTGTTCTATTTCATCTTGTCCGATTCTCATTGTGATGTCTTCATCTGTATTTGTTATATTTTGGTCTTGCTGTAATTCATATTAAGGCCTATCTTTCCAGCTTCTACGTCCAGTTCTTTCATCATTTCAAATAATTCATCTTTTTTATCGGTTATCAATACGATGTCATCAGCGTACCTTAGATGGTTCAAGCGTTGTCCACAAATTTTTATACCTTTTTTTTCCCATTCTAATCTTTTAAAAGTATCTATTCAACCATAGGCCTGGAAAAATGTCTCTTTCCTTTAGTTCTTTTTCAATTCCCTCTCTCCAGCTTCTTCTAGGTCTTCCTCTTTTCCTTCTCCCTTGTGGTGTCTACGTCAAAATCTGTTTTGGAATCCTGTCATCTGGCATTCTCTGTACATGGCCGTACCATATTAACTGTTTTGTTTTTATGTCATCAACTATTGTATGCTTGACTTCCATCATTTCTCGTATTCTCTCATTTGGTATCCAATCTCTTCTTGATTTGCCTGCTGCTCTTCTCCAGAAGTCCATTTCTGTTGCTAGTATCAGTTCCTTTGTTCTTTGTTTCATTGGCCAAACTTTACTGCCATATGTGATTACACTTTTAAGTATGGTGTTGTATATGAGTTGTTTGTTTGCTTTAGATATTGTTTGGTCCCACAGAATGCCGTTCATCATGGATATGGCTTTTCTACCCTGTCTTTTATAGCAGCATCGAGTGTTTCATCTTGAGTTATCTTCATACCCAAGTACTTGTATTCATCACAGTTTTTAATTTCTATCCCATCGTCTAATATAATGGACTGTTTTGTCCATTATATTATCAGCGAGTCATCAGGTAAAACTAAGGTATACAGTGCAGTCTTGTCATTGAGAGGGACTCCCATGCCATTACATTTTATTTTCCATAGCTTGAGCGCTTGTTCCAGATAAATTTTGAAAAGGGTAGGGGAAATACAGCAAACCTGCTTTAGTCCTTTCGTAACCTTAAATCCTTCAGATATCCTTAATCCAGTTTTAATTTTTGCAGTCGTTCCATTATACAGACCCCTCCAGCCCTCCAGGTTGGGAGTTGAGGCACCGGGCCAACTCCTCGGTACTCATAAAACAAGTACCATGTTAAGAAGCCTAACCAACGCCTCGGAAAAAAAATACTGGGCTGGCAATTACTGGCAATGCTACAAACTGGGAAAAAATATTATATAGACTTGTATGTCCGATAGCATAACATGAAACCACATGTCTGTGATAGACCCGTAAGCACTATGGTCAGTCTTGTCTGTACATTGTTGCCGAAAGAAAGTTCATTTTTTAAATGATCTGTGGAAATATTTCAACGATGTGATTACAAGATTTAAAAGTAGGTTTATGTCTTAGATTAAATCAACAGTTTTTTAATCTGAATTCATAAAAAATAAAAAGAGGTTAATCTTTGTAAATGGGTATATTTATTTAAAAAAACCCTTAAAAGGGCCACATCAATAAAACAAACGTTTTCGGACCACACAGTCCATCATCAGGTTATTAAAATCGAAAATGCTAGGTCACAATGCCTGAGCCACCAAAATATTAGGGTAAAAAACCCTTTAAATTACATTTAGTTATGAAATATTGTACATTGTGTTATAAAATAACTGTGATGTTCAGTATTAAATTAAATTTGACTGTAGGTAACACATGGTTCAATTGGGTTCCAGAGCCGGTGAGAGGAAACCTCTGCACTCGGAGAACAACGTGGAACGTGAGTTCAACGTGAGTTCCACGTTGTTCTTTTGGTCCAAGGGTTTTTACCCTAATATTTTGGTGGCTCAGGCATTGTGACCTAGCATTTTCGATTTTAATAACCTGATGATGGACTGTGTGGTCCGAAAACGTTTGTTTTATTGATGTGGCCCTTTTAAGGGGTTTTTAAATAAATATACCCATTTACAAAGATTAACCTCTTTTTGTTATACGTGGTATACAGCCAGCTACAGGAATTTTTCCTTGTGGATTTTATAAAAAATAACATATTAAATATTTAACTCCATTAATTAAAACAATTTATTTTAAAAAATATCAATTTTATAATTTTAATTAAAACCACTAAAACCATTTTAAATTATATTTTTAAAAAGTCCACCACGTTCAGCCAAGCAGTAGCCTATGGTATAATTGCCTTGGGCGTTTGAGAATATTTCGGGTGTTATCCTTTGAAAGGCGTGAATGATTTTTTGACTTAATTTGTCTAAATTTCCGACACGTTCACGATCATGTCATGCTTTACAAAACTACATACGAAAATGTCCAAAGGTGCAAGATCAGGAGAGAGAGGTCGCATTTTTAAGGTACCTTTTGTACTAATAACTCTATTGATAAACGTAATATTTAGAAAATTTAACACCTCCCGTGCATTGTGTGCTGAATAGCCGTATTGCTGCAACCAAATTTCATCTATATTAATAGGTAATGCTCTAACTGCTGGAATTATGAGATTTCTCAGGAGATCTAGGTATTTACGACAACACAAAGTGCTCACAATGAAAAAAGGGCCAATTACGTTGTCACCTAAAATACCATTTTGGATGGGAATATGTTTTGTAAGGAACAATTATGTGCCTATTTTCTGTAGAGTACAGTACGGTAATAGATGGATAGTGATGAACAGTTTAAAAAAAGAAGACATTTGCAAACAGGACCTTTTTCATAGAATCTTTGTCACGATTAGTGCGTTCCATGATGTCCTAACAAAACACTATCCATCGTTTATAATCAGCAGCAAACATTTCCTGAGTTTTTTGTAATTTTTAGCAATGGTACTTATTTCTTTTTAAAATATTTCGTACAGTTCTAGCACTAATACCAGTTTCTCTTGAAATTAGGGTGCTGTTACAAGGAAAATTAATTTCAGCGATACTACATACGGCAGTTTCACGCTGTTTCCGGTCTTCATTAATTGCACGAGCTAGTTAATTTTCATCTTCATCACTATCCGTACATTTTCTACAATTCCTGACACAACCAGTTTGAATCAATTTAAAAATAATGTTGTGAATTGTAGATGTTGTTGGTACTGGGCCTTTGAATGAAAACGTAAACGTACCGATTATATTGTCGGCACTACTTCCAGAATAATGCCATTTAATAATTTGAATTTTATGTTCAGTTGTAAAGGTTACCATTTTTCTAACTTGAAATATCAATTTCCTTATTCTATTTTTGCGAATACAGCCAGAATTATTACTAATTAAAAAATAAACATATATCTGACGTTTCCGTTATCAAAACTGAATGTCACTTTGACGAAACTAGAATTCAATCTAATGGGTGTTAAGAACAAGCTCGTATGTCGATACTAATTTCATACTACATTCGTTTTCTCTTTGTTAGCATAACAACCTCATACTATTTTTTTGTACTAATTATGCGTCCTATATGTAGTTTTCAGATAACCACAAATGTATAATGTCGCAAAAGCTTTCTAAATCCTATTCACTGCGATAACCAGTCCATTTTTCTTATGTTATCTTCTTAACGATCACTCTCCATTTGTAATTATTCGTTTTGTAATTTTCTTCTTTAAATTCTTGCAGCCACTTTGATCTTTGTCTTCTCCTTCTTTCGATTTTCTTTCCTCCTCCTGTATTCCATTATATCATCGCGTATGTCACTGCTTTATCTACTGCTCGTCAATATCGTTCCTAATAATCTTATTTTGCAATAATTAATTTTGGATACGATATCTTTCAGTACTTTTTTAATCTCTGCATTTAGTTCTACTTCTATATTCATGTTAATCTGTTTTCATTGGTCACAGTACCCGGTCCCTTACTAGTAGATAGATACATCAAATGAAGAGCAACTAAAAATCGAAATAGAAAACTTTATAAAAAAAACATTGGGAATAATAAATCTAAACAGAGTAAAAAAATAATATGATGTAGGTATGTCATTGGATTTAAAAAATTTGAAGATAAACTAACAAGTAATGAAATTTAAAGACCAACATAATGACAAACAAGGAGAAGTCTTATGGTTTATTCCCAATAAAAATAATTTTTAAGACATGCCATTAAAGAGGACTGAGGTATATACCTAATTCAGTAAATGTTGACACAAACAAAATAATATTATTACCAGAGGGTTACATTTTTAAAAACACTATTTAGTTTAAGAAACTTAAAATGCCTCTTGATTTTTTTTATTAATTTATTTAATGTCGTCCGAACCACTGGAGTTATAGACGACAACAATGGAAAATACATATTATAACAAAGAAAGGTTAATATTAATTACGTACTAACATTAAAGAAGATTGAATATGTAATATAAGTACAGTCTAGATATTAATTTAAATATCTTTTATGCCTATAGCCGTTAAAAACTTTGTAATATTGTGTAGATGATTATTGTCTCTAAGAAGGTCGCCTATGTCGCTGGGAAGGTTGAGTTTACGTCTGGTTTCCTGGAAAATTTGACATTCGGTTAAAATATGTTTAACTGTACTGTTGGTTTGACACTGGTATGGCAGTATGGAGGATTGTCTCTTGTATTTCGGTAAAGATGTGTATGACGGGTGTGACCAATTCGAAGTCGAGAAAAGATGACTTGTTTTTTCCTAGGTAACACAAAGGCTTGTTTTTGTAAAACATTGTCTTTAATTTGCCTTGGTTTTTCGGAACACTGCGACCATTTGTTTTGCCACGCACAACTAACTATGTTTTTTAAGCACAATTTAAGATCACTTGGCACTATTTTATTAAATTGCACTTGACCATCACCTGTCGCTGCTTCGTGAGCTAGTCGGTCCACAACCTCATTACCATGTATTCCAATATGAGATGGAACCCAGATTAATACCACATGTTTGTTTTCCTTTGCAGTATTTTGAAGTTCTTTGTAAATGTCTTTATGAATAGGATTGTTGGAGTATATGTTTTTGATGTCACAAAGGGCATTCATTGAGTCAGTTATGATTGTATAATTTCTCTGGTCCGTTGTGTTAATGAATTTTAGAGCTTCAAGGATTGCGTATAGTTCTGCGTTGGAAATAGTCCAGTTGTTATGCAACTTAAATTTAGCATTATGAGTATTACAGTAAATGGCTGCGCCGACTCCGTCCGTTGTTTTTGATGCATCTGTGTAGATCTGTCGGTAGTCGCTAAATCTATCCATAATACCTTTGAAGTTGTTTATTAATATGGCTGGTGGGGATTCATGCTTATTAAATTTTGATAGATCAGTAATTACTGGTGGTTTATTTACAGTCCATGGAGGAGGAGGGTTTTCGGAAGGATGGTATATTAACGGGAATTGTATGCCGTATTTATGAAGTAATCGGTTAATTCGTTCATAGAAAGGTGGATTACATTGAGGATGAGATGAGAAGTAGTGGCTGAAACGATTGCTGTTAACGTTATAGTAGACTGGGTTATTTAGAGAGGATAGAACTTTACAAGCAAACGACAAACTTAAAATCTCTTCTAAATTCTAAAGGGGTTTGCCCTGATTCACTACATATACTTAGTATGGGGTTTGTTCGAAAGAATGATGAACAGATTCGTAGAAGAGTGGCCGTATCGCTGCCCCAGTTGATGTTCGACAGTGTCTTCAAAATATTAATGCTTTGCTGGCAAGTACCTTTTAGATTTTTAATGTGACTTTTCCAAATCAATGTTTTGTCAAATGTAAGACCGAGGAACTTTACTTCTTTTACGAAGATCAGATTTTTACCATTCAATGTTAAAATTGGATTATCCTCTTTTCGCTTTTATGAGAAGAGCATGCATTTTGTTTTTTCGTTAGAGAAACTGAGTCCTCTTTTGTCAGACCATTTCTGGAGATTATTTAATGCGCTTTGCAGGATTCTTTAGGTGGATTCTAGATTTGTTCCTCTTAGTAGGGTAACCAGATCGTCTGCGTATAGTCTTGCTTTTACTGGATGTTGACATTGTTCCAAGACATCGTTAATTGCAACAAAAAATAAAGTTACACCTAATACCGATCCCTGGGGGACTCCATTTTCCTGGATTCGACTTGATAATAGTGTTCCATTTGATCGTACTTCAAATGTTCTAAGTTGAAGAAAATTTTGAATAAATTTTAGAAATTGTCCATTAATACCCCAGGAGTGAAGCTTTTCTACTATACCATATATCCATGTGCAATCGTAGGCTTTTGTTATATCGGAGAAAATAGCTAGACAGTGTTGTTTGTTAATGAGTGCTTCGTGAACTTCGGATTCAAGATCAACTAGGTTATCCGTCGTTGATCTATTTTGACGAAAGTCGTTTTGCTTTGGGATAAGCAATTTTTTATCTTCCAGAAACCGTGTAAGACGGCGGTTTATAATCTTTTCAAATAGCTTACAGGTTGACGAGGTTAGGGATATTGGTCTATAGGACTGGGAATCTGTTTTCGGTTTTTGGGGTTTAGGGATTGGGATAATATATGATTCTGACCAAGACTTTGGAAAGTAGTGCTGAATCCACATTTGGGTCTCTTGATTTAAATCGGTTTTAAAACCAATGTTCTGATTTGTTTCATAATTTTAACATATTTATTACATTTTAGATTCCAGAACAAAAGGATGGCTTCTAGTAGATTCCCCAGTTCCAACGCTATTATTCATTTGTTTATATTTCTTCATAGTATGGATAGGACCAAAAATGATGGAAAAACGAAGACCTTTTAAGCTAACTTGGCTACTAGTACCTTATAATTTATATATGGCAGGACTTAACTTTTATATAGCTTCTAGGGTAAGTAATTTTAGTTAGTAATTAAATATCTAACCTAAATAACAACAATGTAACCAAAGTTAGAACATAAGACCAATTCACTGAAAATATTCCAAGACCGGGAGGAATTAGACAAGGCGACAGTTTAATCTCCTTCTTGTTTAACCTACTCATGGGCAAAATTATAAACAAAGTAATATCTTCCAATCTCGGATACAGAATGGGCAACAAAAAATTGGCATGGTGTGTTACGCAGATGATGCATCAATTATTGCCGAATAAGAAGATGATCTTCAGAGACAGCCCTTTCAGTTCTTTTAAATAAGCCGCCAACTAAATATGACCATTTCTCTCAACAGAACTAAATGTATGACAATAGCAAAAGATCCGATCAGATGTAAGTTAGTGGTTGAGAACAACCGCATAGGACAGGTGATGCAATTCAGATATCTGGGCATAGATATATCAAGCACACACGACCCAGTAAAGGACCTAAGGAGTCAGATCAACAAAACATCCACATTGTCAGGATGTCATCGGGAGATAGTTTGGTCAAATCCGTATATGCGCACAGATTTTTATTTTTTGAACCTATTCTCTATCCTTCCATTGTTGGATATAGGTCTCCCCAGTTCTCTCCATCTTTCCCTATCTTGAGCTATTCTCTGCCATGTGGGACCTTCTTGTTTCCTGATGTCATCTTTCCGCCTCATCTATGGTCTGCCTCTTGATCTCTGCATTGCATTGTATGGACGCCACTTTACGATGGCATTGTTCCATCGTCCGTCTTGGAGACGTTCATTGTGTCCAGCCCATTTCCATTTCAGTTTTGCTGCTTGTTCTATCGCGTCTACTGCCTTTGTTCTGGTTTTGATCCACTGGTTACGTTTTCTATCTTTAAGTGATATACCCAACATTTGTCTCTCCATCGCTCTTTGTGCCTTCCTTATCCCATAAAAATTGGCCTGTGTAAATGTCCATGTCTGTGCTCCGTAGGTGAGCACCGGTATTATACAGTAGTAAAGCTTGCTTCGTAAGTATAGAGGGATTGTTTGATTTTTTAGAACGTAAGAAAGTTTGCCGAACGCTGCTCATCCCATTTTTACTCGTCTCGATAATTCGGCTGTTTGATTTTCTCTGTTCGCTCTGATTACTTGTCCTAGATAAATATACTCATTTACATGTTCTATTTTTTCTGTTCGTATTTTTATTACCTCTTGGTCTTTCGTGTTTGTCATTACTTTTGTTTTGTTCAAGTTAATTTTTAGGCCTTTTTGCAGTGATTTTTCATGAAGTTCATTCAGCATTAATTCTAGTTCTTGTCCTTCCGAGGAGATCAGGAGTATATCATCCGCATATCTAAGGTGATTTAAGGACTTTCCGTTAATACACATTCCTCTGTTTTCCGAATCTGCTAATTTTATTATATCTTCGAGGGTCAAGGTAAACAGTTTAGGTAAAATTATATCGCCTTGTCGGACTCCTCGTTTAACTTTTATATTATCCGTTATTAATTTGTCGTTCAGAATTAGGTTCATGGTTGCGTTTTGGTAAATATCATGTATCAATTGTCGGTATCTTCAATCTATGCTACTATTGATCAGAGCTTCTTCCACCGCCCAGTGTTCAATGCTGTCGAAAGTCTTTTCATAATCTACGAATGCTAAGTGCAGCGGAAGGTTGTATTCATTGGTTTTCTCAATTAAGATTTTAAGCGCATGTAGATGGTCGATTGTGCTGTATCCTTTCCTGAATCCGGCCTGTTCCACTAGTTGGTAGTTATCAAGTTTATAGGTTAGTCGGTTGTTTATTATTCTTGTGAAGGTTTTATGTAGTTGTGACAAAAGGAAAATAGGACGGTAGTTGGTTAGGTCTGATCGGTCTCCTTTCTTATGTATTAAGATTGTGTTGGCATTTTTCCATTGTTTAGGTATTTTACCTTTAAATAGACATTTGTTGAACAGTATTTTTAGCATTTTTTTTATCGTGTCTCCTCCTTCTTTTAGCAGTTCCGCCAGTATTTTGTCCTCACCAGCCGCTTTATTTCTTTTCATGTCGTTTATGGATTTTGCGATTTCATCTTCAGTTATTTTGTGGTCTGTGTAATATCTTTCTGTGATTTTTACTATTTCTCTTAGACCTCTTTTTTCATTGGTCTCAGCTTTAAGCAGGATTAATTTTCTTTTTCCTATATTTGTCTTCACTGTTTTTAAACCACGAAATACCACGAAATTTATACCAACAAAACGAAACGAATGCTAAGGGTTTCCGAAATGAAAACCTTAAAAACAATAGTGGGCAAACCAAGAAGAGATAGGGTGATAAATACTAACGTTAGAGAGCAGTGCAAAATACAAGATAGTGTAAGATGAAGAAGGCAGCGTAAGAGGATGTGGTACAATTATGTAAGACGAGTGGATGAGAATGAACTCCCAAAAATTGCACTAGAAAACCACCCGCCCGGTTCAAGACCTCTCGGAAGACCACCTAAAAGATGGAGGGATAGCTGAAATCTACCTCCCAGGAAATTAACCAGAGGCAGCTTTAGAATTAAACAGATCGAAAGATCTCCAAGAAGTAAAAGAAGAATAATATATATATATATATATATATATATATATATATATATATATATAATTAACCAGAATTAAACAGATCGAAAGATCTCCAAGAAGTAAAAGAAGATAATATATATATATATATATATATATATATATATATTATATATATATATATATATATATATATATATATATATATATATAATTAACCAGAATTAAACAGATCGAAAGATCTCCAAGAAGTAAAAGAAGAATAATATATATATATATATATATATATATATATATATATATATATATATATATATATATATATATATATATATATTATATACTGCACACATGCATGTTTTTACAATTTATTAGATCTTATCCCTACTTATCGAGACAAGATGTAATTCTAATTAATACAAGTGTTTCTGTACCAGTCGCTCTGATGATTCCTATTAGGATAAAATACGTATAAGCGAATATACAGGGGTACTATATGATAAAATCTTAAACTGTCTCTTCTTTTATTTCGGTTTCCTCTTTATGAGTAGAAGAAACCAATTCGCCAAGGATTTTTGCTTAGATAAGAAGATATGTTGGGAAATGCAACTTTTATATTTTCCATATCTCTCTTACATCTTTAACATTATCTGTTTTGCCTTATAATTTATAGACGGCACAGATTAAAGCCAAAATCTGAGTTTTGGTTTCGTCAATAGAAATCTTCGCATTTCCACTTTCGTGATTGATGATTCTTTTTTTTTTCATACGAGGAGAACCCTGTTTTGATACCATCTAGATAAAAATTTTAAATTTATAAATTTAAATAATTAATAAATAGTAATTAGACAAAGATTTTTAGGCCAACAATCCGAAGAAAATACGTATTATATAAGGGATTTGCTTGCTCGACCAGCTAGCTAGTAGAATCACTTCGGTGTGAGCCTATATCTTCTGATCATTTCCTAAAAGTCAAGAAGTCTTCTGATAGCATTTCTGAAGAGATATTAAAAATAATTTCCAATTATGTTTTTGATCCTATCGTAATCATCATTTGGCTCTACAACTCTATGTGAGTCTTGGCCGCGTTTACTATCCACTCATTGCCCTTCATTGTTATCGGGCCTGAGCAGCTATCACTCATTTCTATGGCGACCAACTAACCTTCTGCCAACGGGCCCTTCCCAGAACGTCGCGTTCACGAGTCTTTCGTCACTCGATCTTAGCACGTGGCCCGCCCATCTTATTCCGTTTGCTTTATTGTAGCGTACCCTGTTTTTATCTCCATATACTGTCTGGAGTTCATCATTGTATCTTCTTCTCCATTCTCCTGTTGTCTCTTCTCTGCAAGGCCGTTAGATAGTCCGCAGTATCTTTCTTTCCAGTAGCAATAATTTTGTCGTTTCTTGCTGGTTCAAAGTCCATGTCTCGCTTCCATACGTTATTGTGGGACGAATTATTGTCTTATACACCCTTATGTTTGCTGGTATTGAGTGTCCCTCTTTCTTGCAATGATTATAGCTGCCACGTCCTTTTTATATTTATTCTCAGATGTTATGATCGCTCCCAGGTACTTGAATTCTTTGACGACGTCAAAGTTATATGCATTGATTGTTACGTTTTGTCTAAACCTTGGCCTTGGGTTCTTTGTAACCACTATTTACTTGGTCTTATCCTCGTTGACCTTTAGACCAACTTCCTTGGCTCCGTTTTCGAATAGGGTGAAAACTTCTTTTGCATCTCTGGTGGATTGTGCAATTGTGTCCACGTCATCCGTGTATTTTTGATCCTTGGGCGGCGAATCCGTTTGTCAGGTGTGGTTGACCGCATGTTCTAGTGCAAAAAGCAGGGGGGCGAGAGGATCTCCTTGTGTAAGCCCGGTATCAATGAGGAATTCCTCCGACGTGGTGCTGCCAATTCTGATCCGTGTGGAAGCGTTCTCTGTGCTCACCTGTGCTAATCGTACCAGCTTTCAAGGTACTCTAATTTCTACTATGGTCTCCCACAATGGTTCTCTGCTAACAGAATCGTAAGCTTGTTTAAAGTCCACGACGATTTGGTGTACATCGTTTGGTGTTTTTGATCCTATAGTTAACTTAATAAATAACATGTTTAAACAAGGTATTGGTCTTAGACATTTAAAAAAAAGTTATCATCATTATCACCATATAGCCATTACTGTCCACTGTTGACCATAGGCATGGAGGTCTCTGGATTCTGCAGTTCCATCAAACCACATTCAAAACAGATATTTTATCCCTTCCTTTCTGAAAACCTTTATTCTTATCTATTCTTTACAAACAAATAATATTAGGATTACCAGGAGTGATAAACTTGATAACATTTTTAAGTTTTGAAATGTATTATAATGGTACACAGTCTTAAAATGATACAAAAAATGAAAAATACATATTTAAACTTAAATACCGTAAAAAAGAACATAATTTTGTCATAAATCACAGGAGAAATTTAAAGATGCGGACATCCTACACAAAAAGTAGCAACATAAAAAAACATTATGTCAGTATTTCCGTGTGACCACTACGAGAAAGAAGATAACCAATACGTAATGTATTGGGAATTCTACTTTTTAATATACATGTTGGTGATTTAACGCGCTTACTTTCACCAAATATATCTGATGGAACACTTATGAATGGTTTTAATTAAGTAAAAATTCTAACGGGTCTTTAAACCGGTTAATATTTTGGAAACGAAATATGCTGAAGTAAAGTAAAACAGGTGCCGTTCGCTTCGTTATGAAAGTAACATTTCTTTTACTATGACGTCATGTTATGCGGAATAAATTAATCAGTCAATTGACTCGGGTTTTTTATGGAGCCATGAGAAAGGAGCGTACTACATTGTCCCTACTGATCAACATATAGACAATTAATGTGAAAAACATTGTAACTGAATTTTGGTTAGTTTAAAGGACAACGATTTAAATAAAATTCACATGTTATTTTTTTACCTAATCATTATTTATAAATATATTTTGTACCTTGTTGTTTTTACACCTTAAACGCCACAATGCATAATAAAAAAAAGTTATGTGGGCCAAAATATTAAACACATTTAAAGTATTAGTCTATGCATTTTTAATAGTTATGCTTTAGTTTGCGTACAAAATCTTACACTTTTATTGCTTTTTAGAATGTGATGTGATGCACACTTGCTTCTCATATAAGACAAGAATAAACTTGTAGTAACTTCATTAATAACTTCATTAATAACGAGTTTTAAAATAATCATACAAAAATAATTTATTCTTATTTTAAATTAATTTAAACTCATTATTTTTTTCAGCTACTGACTGCTTCATTCCGTTTAAGATATAATTACTTCTGTGAACCTTGCAGGGAGAAATACACAGCTGATGAAATGCAGGTATGTTTGATTTTATAGGTAATCAATTATTTAATTATCTAACGTTGTAATAAGTAAATATGTAAATCAATCAGATGTTATTAGAAGAAGAGAAGATAAAACTATTATCAATAGCAGAACAAATAAAATAGGAAACCTTTCACTTGCATAATAATGATGTTATGGAATATAAAAGTATGGAAAGATTTAAATTAATCATGTTTTTCCAAACTATTTTAATTCCATGACATCTATAACTTGTTCCAAAACTGTATTAATTCGAGGTATTGCTTCAACGAGTAATTAAACATTTAACTTATATTATTTAGAATAAAATAATTCTATTTTTTCAATTTAAATTGTGATTTTTAACTTTTAGATTGCAGATGCAGTTTGGTGGTACTATTTTTCTAAACTTCTAGAATTCTGTGATACTATTTTCTTTATATTAAGAAAGAAGACCACTCAACTGTCATTCTTACACGTTTACCATCATTCGACTATGTTCGCCTTTTGGTGGATTGGAATCAAATGGGTGCCCAGTGGCTCTAGTAAGTATAATTTTATTGGTTTAATAAACTGGTAATTTTCTATTACCTTGTGACAAGAAAAATGCAACATTTGATTAACATCAAAGTAGTTCATATATTTTTGAAAATTAGAAGGGCTATATAGTTGGGTAAATGATTAACCAGACATGTTATAATCGATTTATAACATGATAATAAAGCCAAAAATTACATGTCCATCAGTTGTAAGTGGTATGGTGCCAAAGGTGCAAAAAAAGTACCATTATTAAACTAGCAAGACGCAAAGATTTGCTTAATCAAATAAATATATAACAAAATATACAGTGCGTTCCAACGATAATTTAACCACCCCCTAGTAACTTACAAACCAAGAGTTTCTTTAAAATTAAAAAACACACGTAAATTTATATTGGGGGAAGGACGAATTTTCACGCAAAATTCATGCCTTCAAATGTAACCCTCTAGTGCTTCGCATTAACCACCAGTTTCTTTTTAAATAACGTGTGGTCGAGTGGCACATCACTTGATGGGTATTTTTTGTCCTATACGCGACACTATTTTTTTAAAGATAATTTTGGATTTAACTAATTTATTGGTTGAACACAGTAATAACAAAAAACATAAAATTTGATCAAATTAATCAATTAAATGCTCGAAATATCCTCCTGTGACCTCCATACAATAATACAGAAACACAGTATATTTTTAAAGCCCCTTCGTACATTTGCAAATACCGCTGGTGTCAATAATCGGCATTGTGTCACAAACCTTTGTCGCAACTCTGCAAGATCTGCAGGTGGAGTGACATATATTTTTGATTTTATGTTCCCCACAAAAAAACCAAAAGCGCAAGATCCGGTGATTGATTGTGAAAACGTTGATTCAAAGATTGTCTTACGCGTATATTATAATGTGGGGGTGCTCCGTTCTGTTGCAAAGTCAGTTCACCCTCTAAAAGATTATTATTAGATTCCAATGTGTCAGTGACGAGCGCATCACGTCTTCTAACAAATTTAAATAATTTATTCTGTTGAGATTTTCTTTAAGAAATAATGATCCAATAACGTAATTCCCTAAATTACCAACCCATACATTTAATTTCTGAGGTGTTTGTGTATGTGTCTCTATGAATAAATGAGGATTACTGTTATTATAATAACGACAATTATGTCTATTTAGTTCACAATTTCACATACATAACATTTGACGTACACTCGTTAGAAAAAACGTATTGTACAATTGTATATTTGTGAAATTTATTACATTTTATATTTCGATAAACACTAGATGCTGAAACACCAGATGCACGAGGTAGTTGTCTGATAGACTATCGATTGTATCCATTTGTAAATGATCCAAAACCGCCACTTTACTTGCTTCATTTCGCACTAGACGGTCACTTATAGCTTCATCCTTATCAGTTAAATGTTTAACGTTTATATCCCATTTTTGTAAGCCTTTACAATATTATCTCTAATTAATTAGTCGTTGACAAATCCCAAATTAAAGGTGACCTGGTATAAACTAAAGAAGATAATTAGGATTCATTAACTCTAAAATAAAATTGATATGAAAAAGTGATATTTTTACAAAAATAAAAAAAATATATCTTTACCACAGTGGCGTGTTGATATCGATTAGTAGATAATTGAATTGAAGATCACTAAGAATATTTAATTAGTTAATTTTGTGATGTTTCTCTAGTCATACTGATATTCAACCAATAAATTAGTTATATCCAAAATTACCTTCTAATTTATTACGTAAATAAATAGAAAATAAAGTGTCGTAAAAAAATAAAAAAAACGGGGTTAATTCGGGGCAGTAAGGGGTTACATTTGAGGTGATTAATTTTGCATATTGAGTAGTTTTAGAAATTTTTTGACGATATGTAACGTTCGGTTTCTTGATACGTTACAACTTTCATTGCTATCAGCTGTCAGATTTATTGCTAGACAAAAGAGCATCAGCTACAAAATATTTTGCTCCAGAGCTGGCCAATACATCGTTTCAGAGCCGGTCATGGGCCTGGCCAATCAGGAGTGCCAAAAAGCATTGTCCTCGATTGGAAAAAGTCTGGATTCGAAGGCAATATAACTCTCACTGTATAAATATACTCGGTCAAATACATAGCATAATGTAAATTAAACAAACATGTGCTAATAGCGCTAAAAAACTGCAGAAAACAAGCCGGGATTATCTCAGAGTTGTAACAGGTTTCCCTACTAGACAAGCACTAGTCAAGGAACAACTGTATACAATGCGACTGTTTCATTCAGAAGTAATCTGCAAAGTCAGTAGCAGAGGACCTGAAATAGTCGACCTAATTTTGTATGGCTGACATGGTAAACACTCTTTGGAAGTGATTCCAAAAGATGAACTAAATCCAGATAGCACCGATGATGGAATAGTGATTCCAAAACGGTCTGTGATATAGGCTGATAAAGTTTTTAATATTAATATATATTTTATAAATAAATTTGTTTAAATAAAAATTTTGTGATACATGGTATACAGCCAACTATACGAATTTAGTTTTCGTGTGGATTGAAATGTCTTTATTCTTGATCTAAAAATTCTAATAACTTAGTTTTTAAATCATTGCTTAAAATTAATATATTTATGATTTTTTTATTTGCAGCCTTCTTACCTGCCATGGTCAATTCTGGAATACATGTTTTGATGTATTCTTACTACGGACTATCAGTATTTGGTCCTAAAGTTGCTCAATATTTATGGTGGAAGAAATACTTAACGATACTACAACTGGTATGTATGATTACGTATTAACAGTAAATGTACCTAGTCCTTTCTATCTTTAAAAATTTCTCCCAAAATTTTAAAGTAAATTTATAAAAGGATAATAAAATTATTCATGCTTTGATTATATGTATATATGATATTTATAATTAAAAACTATTACTGTATTATTGACGATGTAAATAATTATAAGTAGTTGTCCCTTACGGACTGAACTTTTGAATCCTTGGCGTATGTTTTCCAAGAAATATTGTTTTTCCAAAAAACTTTTTTCCAATGTAAACTTACAATAAATATACGAATACCGCAAGCAAGAGGAAGTGCTATTCTATTAAAAGAACTAGAAAAAGTGAGAGACGCCATCTCCAACATGGTAAAATTGATTGCAAAAATATTGCAAGTTTTTGGCTTATAAACAGTTTGAATAACCTTTTTTCTATAGCTTGGAGACAAATTATTTTTTCGTATTTCAAAAGCTGACATTCTAATTAAAAAAAATTGTTTTACGTTACTTAGGGAGGAAGTTAGTTCTTTTTTTAATTCATAGCTAGCTTGTTTATAACAATTAAATAACCTAATTAACAGCATTTAAACACCCAAGGACGTAAGTTTAAATATCATTATCATCAATGGTGCTACAGCCTTATGAAAGAGCCTCGACCTTCCCAAGTCTATTACGCCAGTCAGTCCTATCCATTGTAAACCGTTGCCAGTTTGTTGCGCCTATCTTTCTACCATCCTCATCTACACCATCCTTCCATCTGAGTTTTGGCCTACCCCTTTTTCTACTTTCCACGAGTTGTGACATAAGGATTCTTCTAGGAGGGTTGTTCTGCTGTGATTTTGCTATTTGTCCTGCCCATCTTAGTCTTCCTATTCTGAAAAGAGATACTACGTCTTTACCACCAAATATTTGTTTATATCTGTGATATATCTCGTAGTTGTATCTCCTCCTACAAACACCATTTTCACAGATGCCACCAAATATTCCTCTCATGATCCTTCGTTCAGATATAAGCAGAAGGTCTTCGTCTGCCTTGAAGATGGTACATGTCTCCGATCCATATGTCAACACTGGCTGTATAAGGGTTTTGTATATAGTTATTTTTGTTTTTTGGCTTAAGTTTCTATTTCTCATATGTCCACTCAGTCCAAAATAGCATCTGTTTGCCATTATTATCCTTCGCTTAATTTCTTCCGTTATGGCGTTCTCTTTGGTGATCAGGGAGCCTAAGTATGTGAATTTCTCGACCACTTCAAAGGTAGAGTTATCAACCGTAAATTGGGTACCGATGTTCCTGACTCTATTGTTGGGTGTTGATGCCATCATCTTAGTTTTCTCCTCATTTACTTGCAGGCCCTTTTCTCCTCATTTACTTGAAGTTTAAATGAACAAAGTTTAAAAAATATTTCACTTGAACGGAGTTATCTACAAAGCTTTTCAGCTTTAACTGTAGTTAGCTTGTTGAAGTGGAGGGGGAAACGAGGGCCATAAACTATAAACTCGTACTCTAATTAATGGATTTTGACAATTCTTTTTTTAATTTTTGCGAACATGATTTTTTTATATAAATTTAATGTTAAATTAATATTGTTTAAACAATTTTTGGGAAAAAAATATTTTAAAGACATCTTTAGGACGATTTTTGAAAACATAAAAATAGATCGTTAGTTTTATTTACGATAACTTGTAAATAATTGATAATTTTTTATTACGTTTTATGTAAACATACAAGCTGTCCTATGTACTTACTGCTAAAGTATTATTGTTTCAAAAAATGAAAAAGACAGTAAAGATTAGATTTCACGTACTAAGCGTCTATGTATCTATTTATGCGCATTTCGGCCTGATAGGCTTCATCAGAACAGCTATTCATAGGTGTTTCCAACGTGAAAAATAAATATTTTCTGTCTTTAAGAAGCAACATTAAAATGGCTTCGATATGGACGTAATAGCGACAGCTAATAATAAATCCGTAAAATAGTTTTCGAAACCAATTCAGATTTCTGCTTTTAATCTGAACCTTCTAAAAATTGCAAGGTAAACAGACGTTGATAAAGATGTTAAAAGAGACATGGGGAATCTAAAATTTGCATTCCACGACATGTCTCAATCAACTTTGCAGAAATCCTTAGCGAATTGGTTTCTTGTACTCATACAGAGTAGATCCGAATAAAATGAAAAAGACAGTAAAGATTAGATTTCACGTACAAAGCGTCTATGTATCTGTTTATACGCATTTCGGCCTAATAGGCCTCATCAGAACAGCTATTCATAGGCGTTCTCAACGTGAAAAATAAATCTTTTCTCTCTTTAAAAAGCAACATTAAAATTGCTTCGATATGGACGCAATAGAGACCAGTTAAGAAGTAGACGAAAAGATCAAACAAGAATACAAACAGTCATTTCAAAGAAGATCATGAATCAATGCAATACCAAACTAATGCCAGAAGTAAATGTAGATAAGATTCGATAAACGTTAAGAAAAATGAAAAATATCAAAGCCCTAGGAGAGGATGAAATTGTAATAGAAACTATCGTAAATGGAGGAGATATGCTATTAAATCCATTAAGGAAACTGTTTAATCTATGTTTGCGGCAAAGAGAGTTGCCCAAAAAATGGAACAATGCTATAACCATCCTTTTACATAAAAAAGGAAATAGAACCGACCTAGAAAATTATTGACCTATTAGCCTGTTAGAGAAGCGCCATATTTCTACTATTGTGAGATTAAAAACTCGATACAGAAAATATGTGGCACATCTGCATAAATTAGGAATAGTGAATTCACCAGTAAGCTTTTGTGATAATACTTCTATTAGATATTTAAATCATATTTCTTGGAATGCAAAATTAAAGAGAGATATATAGACCACTTATATTAAAATCTACAACTAAAACAAGTGTGCTTTCCAATTAGTAGAGTATTTACTTAGTTTTAATGAGATGAGAATAATTAACCTACTTATTGACAATTTAAAAGCAATAAACAAAATGAAGGAAAGAGAAAATTTTCTCAAGTTATAAACAGGATTAAATCAGAAATATTAAATTATATATCTATATTAAAATTTGTACACGATCGTTGTATCTTTTAAGAAAAAAATATATATGATATATTTCTAAAATAATTATTGTATTTGGGGTGCAAAATTAACCGGACGCTCAGATTTTTTTGTTTTTTTTTTGGTGTTCAAACTTCTTTAATTGTTTTAAATTGCATTTTCTGCCTTATAAGCGATAACGTTTTTGTCTTGCTTGAACCCGTTGAGATGTTTTGTGCGAAGAACAACACTTTTATACATGTGTTTGATTATTAATGTGAAACAGTGGCATAGTATTAATTTAAGTTTATTGTAGTAATGTACCTGATTATAAGTTCAGCTGTAGGTTGTTGTATTGTTTCCTCTATTGTTTCCTCTATTAACAGCAAATCATCGGAGACAACATTTACACCTCGCTCGCAAACATTATAATTGGATGTTGTCGATTGGAGTGCTGTGGTTTTTACAGATGAATCAAGAGTTAACAGATACTCATCAGATGGGCAGCCTAGGATATGGAGAAGAGCTAGTGAACTTATCAGCAATGTTGTTTTACTCCGAGAGTTCAATTTGTGGAAGGTGGTGTAATGGTGTGGGCAGGAATTTTCATAAAGGCTCATTCAGAACTTGTTACAATTCAAAGGGGCAATTAGAACGCTCAACGAAATATTCAGCAATGTTTGGAAGATCTTGTAGTGCCATTTGCCCCATTTGTTGGAGCAAACTTTCGTCTGATGCAAGATAATTCTCGTCCACACATCGCAAGAATAACACGGTGTTACTTGGATGAAGTTGGGATTCGTTTATTACCAAGGTCTTCAAGGACTGCAGACTTTAATCCAATAGAGCATGCATGGGATATACTGGAACGATGTATTCAACGTAACCATGGTGAGTTTGAAACCATGAATGATTTAGAGCAGTTCGTGAATAATGGGAGCAAATCTCTCAAATCAAAGCACACTTTGCTGCCTTAATCCGAAGTATGCCTGATCGAATGAGAGCCGTAATTAGGGGTCATGAATAAACAATATGGTTTTCCATAAAACATGTTTATATTTAAAAGATAATAATTTTTGTTTCTTTGCAGATTTTCAAATTTTTTGAATTGTTTATTGATTTTTCTGTCTAGCATGAGTTGTTATAAATTTGACTTTTAAATTTTGTTTATTATTAAATACTCAACTGGGAACATCTTAAACTTTTTTAAACGCCAATTTTCAGACAAAATCTGTTAATTTTGCACCCCAGTGTATAAAGCTTTCTTAGATTTTTTTATGCAAACTGTATTATAAAAATTATTTTACTAGGTAATTATCATGGTTTCTTTCACGCTCTTACGATTTTAACTGAAGTTTAAAAATAATTTTATAATTACCAATTCTACTTCCTCCTTGACGCTGGTGGTAAAAAACCCTCGCGAGACATAAGGATCTTAATTAGTCACATAGACGCTCATTACATTGCTCTTTTACTACATTCCGTCCTACATTAGTTAGTTAAAAATATAAAGCACAAATGCAGAAGGATAAAAATGACATAATAAGATAAAAAATAGTATTTAAAAAAATTAACTAAATTAAATAATAAGGATATTAATCCGATATTTATCTCTAGGTAAAGTTGTGTTTAGATGTGTAGGTATAGATATATTTATGTTTGTGCTTTATGGATACTCATTAGGCCATTATTTTTATTTAAAAAATCATCAATTTCGTCATTATGTCCAGGTGGATAACGTCAGTACTATAGTACATAATTTAAAAATAAAAATCGACTTGTTTCGGGATTTGTCCGAAGATATCACTTTTTCATTTAATCCTGAATATACTGGATACTAGTAATGTTGAATGATGTTACAATGAATAAACAAATATAAAGAATTCTTATCAGTTAAACAAATAGGGAAAACGAGTTTCCTGGTATATCGAGAAACAAAAAATACTGTATCTGTACAGTATTTCTATCTGATATGTTTCTATCCTGGATTAGAAATATAAGAAAATGAACTGGGCTAGGCATACGAGTAGCAAAGGCCGCGAAAAGTTTTGTCACGATATCGGTAACCGCTGTTAATGTTGACACAAGTCGAGGAAGAAGAAGATAATAAAAAACATCTAATTAAATGACTCTTAAACGTCAAACAATTTTTTTATTTAGTAAGATACATTTATCGTTACAATATATATCAGTTGAATTAAAAGCAACTACTACATTGTCATTTGCGACTACGTGGATATACAAGTAGAACTCTCCATTATGGAGATCCAATGCCCATATTTTTTTTACTGTCTATAAATTACCACTTAAGTAAAAAGCTTACCTTACCAAATCACAATTTGTTGTGGAATTTATAAATACTTTATTTAATTACAATTCTTATTAACCTACAATGCATACAATAACCTACAAATAAACAACCATGCGTCGGTGCTAGCCTCCTCAAGAATTTCTCTCTACTCGTCCCTATCCATCACCTTCTTCCGCCAAGCACGTATATTTCTTATCTCTTCATCGATGTTATCAAGGAACCTTGTTTTGGGTCTTCCTCTTCTTCTCTGACCAATAGGTCTATTAAGGAGCATTTTTCTAGCTGAGTTATTTTCAGACAATTCGTCCTGAATTCATAGTCTACATTTAATTTTTTCAAGAGTTAGTTTTTTTAAATGTTTGGTTTGGTGTTCCTACATCTTTCATTGCTTTGAACATTTCTCTTCTATTCATATAGTCGTAGGCTACTTTGTAGTCTTAAAATAGGTGATGAGTATCAATGCCATATTCCAGTGTTTTTTCTAAAATTTGGCACCATATACCGGATAGTATTTGGCACCATATACCGGATAGTAGCAAAATACCAGCCTAGTATGCTACTATCCGGTATATGGTGCCATACGGTGACATAGTACTGTGGGAAATATTTTATACGCTCCATTTAGAAGCGTAATTCCTTTGTGGTTAGAGCATTAAAAATATCTCCTTTTTTGTCTATGGTGCAAAGTTTTCCAATATTTCAATCATTGGGAAGGGAATTCTGGATCCATATTTCTTTTATAAGCTACTGTAATGACATTATGGTAACATGGTCACCTTCGCCATTCTATGACTGCCATTAGGTCACCATTCTGATTTCTGCATTGTCTTGTGGTTGCCTTGAATACTTTTCTGTTGATGTTAACTTTCTCACTTACCTTGAATTGTTTTTCTTTGTTGAGGTTTTCTATATATTTAAGTTCCTTATTTAAGTGTTTTCGTTTTTTTCTTTTGTATATCCTTTTTTCTTCTCTTCTTTTTGTCTGGTAATTATCTAACGTTGTTCTAGTTAGTCGGGTAAGCATGTTTCTGTAGGCTTTATTTTTTTCTTTTGCTTTATTTGCTTTATTTCTGCATTAATTGTCAAACCAATGACTTTTACGGGTCCAAATTTCTGTGCCTATTTTCTCTTTCGCCGCTGCTTTATGGTCTTCCTTTATTCTGGTCCAGTAGGAGTCTAAATCTGTCTGGCCTTCTTCATTTACATTTTGATCCCTTAGCCTGTTAATGATATTTTCCGAGTACCGTTCTGCAATTGTCGCATCTCTTAACTTTTACACATTCCATTTTTTTTGTCTGTATTCAGATCCCTATATTTCCTAAAAAATGACTGACGGTCAATACTAATGGTATGTCACAATAGAAGATATATAAAAGGTTCCATTATACTCATAATTTTTCGCTCTTTTTTACATTAATTTAGTATGTTTGTTAAAAAATGTTTAGACTGTTAAAAAAAGACATATAAATAGATAAATAGTCAACTCAAATTCTGACAATTTTTGTATGTACAAGTATACTTATGTAATATATATTTAATGTGTATTTTTTTGCAGATTCAATTTACTTGTGCCTTGATCCTGGGTGCAAACGGAATAAGAATGGGTTGTGAATTTCCCCTATGGATGCACTACACACTCATTGGGTATATGATATCATTTATAGTACTCTTCGGAAATTTCTACGTTAAGGCTTATTTGGAACGGGTAAGTAAATTTCTTTATATTGTCTTTCAATTATTGTGTTATCAAATTAGATCACCGATTATAGATAAAAGATCTTCTGATCTCGTAAACCATTCCAGACTACGACTTAAAATATTTTTTTGTGTAATATTCCACGAGGAAACTAAGTTCCTGTAGCTGGCTGTATACCATATATCACAAAAAAATTTGTTGAAATCCTTTATAAAAGGTATATAAAATTGCCTCAAACGATCTATCACAAACACATTGCAAAACGTTTTCGGATTAAACAATCCATCATCAGCGCAAACAGTTGTACATGCTAGTAGCCACCAAAATATATGGGTAAAAACCCTTTAAATGTTATAAATTTGAAATTGTTTTACATTATTAGTGTTTCTAATTTGTGATGGTTAAGTTACCGTTGGATAGGTAACATGGCGGCGTATGACTCTACATGAGTAAAATGGTCCTGAGACGAAGTGCCTACGTTATCAACAGGTCCTCGTAGGCACTTCGTCTCAGGACCATTTTACTCATGTAGAGTCATACGCCGCCATGTTACCTATCAACGGTAACTTAACCATCACAAATTAGAAACACTAATAATGTAAAACAATTTCAAATTTATAACATTTAAAGGGTTTTTACCCATATATTTTGGTGGCTACTAGCATGTACAACCGTTTGCACTGATGATGGATTGTTTAATCCGAAAACGTTTTGCAATGTGTTTGTGATAGCCCGTTTGAGGCAATTTTATATACCTTTTATAAAGGATTTCAATAAATTTTTTTGTGTCTCATCTTTATGTGGGTTCTAATTAAGTTTTAGCGCTTTTAATCAAACTCACTGGTCGTCAAACTCACTAATCATTTTTGACTCACTGGAACTTTATCGTGATTTTGCTGACCAGTTTTCTGTAGTTTCTCTACCTGTTTGCAAATATGATGTATAGGGAGATCCCATTCATCCCAACTTTCTTTCTGTTTCACAAAAAGCACAGCTGACTTTACAGTGTTAGCGACCATGATCGAGCGTGAAGAGCCAAGGCCATACGGATCTTGGTGTGGGCTTAAAAACGTGTATTATTATTTTTTTTTTCAACAAAATCGTTCATTATGAATCTCTTTTGGGAGAGTTCTAGGCTTTTAGTATGACCTATTTCTTCTACAAACTTTGTATGTAATCATTTAACTGCTGGGAGAATTTTTTCTTTAATGTGGAAATTTATATCAGACCTACGTAAGAAGCCTTCATCAAATTTAACCATTTTTAGTTTGCATTATTTTTTGTGTTTTTTTAGAAGGAAATCATAACTTATTATTAGTTAAGCTCTATTTTTTGGTATTGCTTAATTACATTTTGAAATCACTCTTTCTAATCCAGAATATGACAGTAAAAATAGTAGAAAACCCTGTGATTTTTTTATATGCATCGATTTTCTTGAAATTTTGAGAGTAGCTAAACAACAGCTAAAATATCAAAATCTACCTTTATGGCAGTATGTGTTTTTTTTCTGGAGGTAATTACTTGGAGGAGTTACCACCCCAACTCGAGGCTGGAAAAAGTTTATGAAAAATAATCATAGAGGTTGCTAGAATAGTAAGTTTAAAAAAAAATGTTCTTTAGAGTTTCGAAAGGTCAATATTTTTGGAGTTATTCGTGACTGAAAGTTCACAAATTACACGACAAAAAAGCAATTTGAGATTTTCAGTTGACATCGTCCTTATAGGCGACTGTATAAATGATGCAATTATATTGCTCTTGATTAAAGTGCTGTTGTGCAGATGGACCTACTCATATCCCTCAAAAGGAAAATATTTGACCAATTTGTTAGGTGTCTCTCTGAGAGACTGAATCCTAAATACAAAAATTACGTCGTAGAACAAAAATAACAGACGCCATCAAAAAAGTCGCGTCTCTAAAATGGAATTGAGCTAGACACGTCGCCAGATTATCAGACAAGCTATGGACAAAGCGTATTGTTCAGTGGAGACCAAGATAAGAAGCACTACGGAGCAGAGGTTAGCAGTAACTGGATGCAAGCGGCACAAGACAGAGACAAATGGAAAGAGCTGAGAAATACCTATGTCCAGCTGTGGAGGCAAACAGGTTGATGATGAAACTTAATATTAATAATATAGTGGTTCGAAAAGCAGACTTCTGTTCATTGATTACAAAAATCCAAACATATGATGTTGAATAACCGGAAAACGTTGTAGGAACTTTTTTTAAGAATCTTAAAAAACCTTTAAAATGGTTACTAGCGATACCGATTTGCATGAAAATTAAGGCAAGTTATAACTAACAAAGCCCGCTTGTGTTTTTGTGACGTAAAACCCCCGCTAAAACCAAACTGGTTGAAACTATTCGTTGTTCGTTTACAATTAACTTTATATAATATTCAATCATTACATTTTAGAAGTTTAACTGATTTATTTTTGAAAACATCCAAGTTGAAAGTGAAGACACTATTTTCAGATTTTTTTAAAAAATCCCATTTTTTGAAAATAACTCAACAATCTGAAAAATAGGTGGTAACCACCCCTCCAGAAAAATAGCACATTGGTTTAGGATAGATTTTGATCTTTAAGTTATTTTCTATCTCCTGTTAAAATTTCAAGCAAATCCATGATTATAAAAATAATTCAGAACAGAATACTTCCATATCCTAGACTATATGTAATTTTTAATTGACTTAAGTTTGAAAATAATTTTTATTTAAAATATAAGTCGCATTTATTGCTTCTAAGAGGTAAAAATAATAGTCAATAAAGCAAGTTATAAATCCAATAATATTAAATGTATATTAATATTTAATTACTTTTTATAATGATGCATTATGTTCAATTTATTATCAATTTAATTACCCGTTAAATTAGCCACGCAATCTTGTATTCTTTTGACATCTACTAAAAGTCTATCTGAATTGGTTTTTTTTGTAGAAAATTCATTAAAAATAATTTGTTGTGCTAGGACCTTAAACATTTATTTTTGACTAAGTTTTCCATTTTAATTTCAAAATGTACTAGTTCCACTTTAAAAATCTATTTAAATACTTACCACAACCATGGCGAATTTAACAATAGAAGGTGGATCTCTCCGCTTGAAAGTCAGAAAAGAAATGAATTATATAATAATATCAAATTTGGTCAACACGAAACAATCTACTTCTCACTTGCTCTAGTGTATAGATAAACATAGATAGTGTATAAAAATTGAAGTTGCTAGCTGGTCATGAGTCGTACCATTTAATTGATGTATGCTTGAGGTATTAGTTCAATTGGCATAAATGTACATTGAATTCACATTTTTTTTTAGTTGGCCTGTCCACTTTTGAATGTTTAATATGACTCCAATAACTCGAATACGTATAAGTCTTTCGACAGATCACAGTCCCGTGCATTCCGCATATCTTAGCTTTTCTTTGATGCATAAAGATTACATTTTAAAAAATCGAGAAACTCTATGTTCATACGAAAAATACAGGGTGGTAGCAAAGCAACTTATTTCTAATATTGCTATTGTAAAATTGGGACACGAAGAATGCGAAATTTGTGAAAGTTTAAACTTGCACAATCCAAGCCATAAAAAAGATACAATTGACAATTATTGTGATGTAGTTTTATATAATGAAATTGGTGACTTATCTCTTGCTATTTTGACGACACAGGTATTCTCCGTTTTGCTTATTTGGTTATTCTATTCTTTTTTTCTATTTATTGTCCATTCAGTTATACACTGTACGTTACATTTTCTTCTGATATCTTCACTTCTCTTTCGATCTCTCAGCGTATTTTAGGTAGTCTTTCTGAGTACTCCTATCTCTGCCATTTCCATTAGGCTTTACGTTGTATGTGGCTATATCGGGTCTTGTTTCTGAGGTATATGTCATTATGGGTCTTATACTGGCTTTTTAAATTCTTGACGTCATCTCAGCATTAATGTGTATCTTTCGCCATATATTGTTATTAAGACATCCTGTCAGTCTATTTCTTTTTTGTGCTTGATCTCTCACTTCTTTGTCCAGGTAGTCATAGCTGGACAGTACAATTCCCAGGTATTTTATTTCCATTACTTGTTTAATACTGATGCTATCAATTTCTATTTTACATTTGGTTGGTTCTTTGCTAACTGCTATTGTTTTAGTTTTCTGAGAAGAGATTATTATATTAAATTATTTTGCTCTTATGTTAAATCTGTGGAATAGTGTTTGCAGACTATCTTCATCTTGGGCTATCAATATTGAGGCATCTGCGTAACAGAGTATTTTAATTTCTTTGTTTTCCATTCTGTATCCTCTTTCTATGTTAACGGTTTTGATGATTTTATCCACGACTAAAATAAAAAGCATGGAGCTCAATTAGTCCCCTTGTCTTTATATTTCTATAGGTTCTGTATAATATATACAGTGAAAGCCAAATAAAGTTGCGTTCACGTCATCATTGTGAACATTTGCAGCGTTGTCAGATGGTTTATGAAGTATGAAAATTAACAGAAAAGAACTTAAATAAACAAAAAAGGTGAAGATAGCAAATTTCACACTATATTGTTACACTTCTTAAAACTCAGCTTTATTCAACACCAACAATATAACAATACTTTTAACTAACTGACAACTATAAACTTCTACATTCAAAATACATCTGTTCCCCAACTGTTCCCCAAAAACATCTGTTATATACATATGTTCTGACGTTCCAAACTTCACTAGACATTTCAAGAATTTTCGATGTCATCTTGAATGTTCTCGAACTACTTCTTCTTTTTCGTCAATGGACTTTTCCTATGTGGGATAAATCTTTCGTAACAATATTAAGTGGAATTTAAAAATGAGTGTTTTTTTTCATTTATTTTTTTGTTAATTATATTCATGAAAGGATTTCACAAAGTAAGTAATTTCACAACAAAAGTGGTAAAGTTATTACTGAGTTACCAAACAATAAGTTACTCGTTTATTAGTGCAACGCTTTTTCTTTGGTGACTCGAATTGTTCACCTTTTTTCTGCATTTGACATATGCAAATATGCTGTTTACTGTTCTTACGCTGATTTTTAAAGCAGCAGCTACACGCTAAAATCATACAAATTTTTGTAAAGTAAAGTAATGATATTTTATTCGCATATTACCTCTTGTACAGCGTTTAAGGGTAACAAAGAGCCATTATTAATCCTTTCTTCTTCAAAATAGTTAACTAATGAAGTTCTTTGCATCGACTATTGAGCTGTTTGGGCATTTTGACAAGTAAATAAATGTTTTTCACAAGTTAACCTCAAAAATTGACGATACCACGTGTACAAAAGTCACAGACCACTGAATGAAAATTCAACAAACGACGCGGCAACATGACAATATTTCTGGTAGTGACTAATACTCTGTCAATAATTGGTGGTTTCTTTATGAACATTTCAATACAAAATTTTACAATCACGGACGTCTAAATCCAAAAAAGCTATATATACATAGCTGTATATACATTATGTTGTTACAAAAGTTTTTTTATTGATCGGGTTATTTTTAAAAGTGATTGTTTAGCAAACTAAAGTAACATACACTTTTCTATAGAAATGTAGCCACACATACAATAGAATTAAGTCATTGGTGACGTGCACGCAACTTTATTTGACTTTTAGTGTATATAGTCTTTATAATATTTAGGGGAACTCTATTATACAGAAGATGGATTACATCTTTAAGTCTTACTCTGTCAAACATATTTTAATAACACGTTAGTAAACTCACAATTTTTTTTCATTTTTAGGGCAATCAAGTATTCTATGGAATGGACTTTGGATGTGGCCAAGGAAACAGCAATTATTCCAAACAATATACGGTACAATCTCACAATGGGGTTCAAAACGAAGTAGAAAAGAAGCACAATTAAAACTTTTGATTCTAAATATATTAGAATTTTAAAAAGAGTAAATAAATCCAGATCTTCCTCGTAACAGACCATTTCCCATGATATGTCGTTTTTGTATATAAATAAGAAATGTGCGATATAGTTCTAGTATGATAAGAACGAAACAGATTTATGGAGTATATTTTACAAAGAATATTTATGTACATACATTACAGTAAACGATACTCTCTTAATTAATCAACAGCATTCTAATTTATTATGTTGCTCCAATTTATTAATGTCGCTGGGCTATAAGTAACTGCCAACTTTTCCCTTATATAGAACTAGTCAATAACCCATCCTTTAAATTTCCTGTAACACTATATGTACATGTATCGTATCTATTAGTGATTTAAGAATTATTTCATTTAATGTAATTATTAACATTTTTCTCTTTTTATAGTAGCTTAACAGTATAGTAATAAAATGATTCAATATCAAATTAAAAATCAAAATCATGGGGACGACTTGTTACAAATAATGGGAAATGGTCTTTAAGTTTTTCTAGGAATGAATATCAAAACTTTGTGTTGTGGAAACTGGTCGTACGCTTTTTTATTAAAAAGCTTCGCCACGAGTTTCTTCAACTAGTGATCATCAAAGAATAGGGTACATTGGTGTGACGTCAAGCTGCCATTTTTTTGAGGTCAGCTCCATTTTGATTCCATATAAACAAAATATAAATCAAATAATGTGTTTTTAATGGAGGATGATTAAATTTTTATTTTATATTTGATTAGTTATTTTAAAATACCGTTTTTCAATTTGAATGGATACATTTCTAGAAGTAAAATGGTAGTTTGGCGTTATTATTAATATGGCATATACCAACTTAGCATACTAGTTATTTAATCGATACATAAAAAGTGACCTTGTTAAGGGTAGCTATTTTATTAGTGTTTCTGAAGCTCGTAGGTCAAAAATATTACGTTTACTGACGATATCAAATTTGTATAAAGCTTTTAAAACAATAAACAATGTATTTACTTTCGATGGGTATCTGATCTACATTTAAGCAGACTTTAAATAATAATAAGTAAAATATGATGTTGTTCAGCATCCTCAAATAAATGTTTTCACTTCGAGAATTCTTACGTCTTCACTTCGAGATTTAGTCTATCCTTAATCTTACGATATCCAATTTACTTAAGCGATAAATGACATTTGAACACAAGAATATACACAAACAAACATGGGTTTCCAACGACGGCGTCACAAGAAATCAGATTGATCATGTTCTAGTAGATGCCAGGAGGGGTAGTAACTGTCTAGACGTAAGAAGCCTAAGAGGAGCTGATGGAGACACGGATCATTTTCTTGTAAAAGCGAAGATAAGGACAAGAATAGCGTCCAAAAAAACACACAAGAATACACCAACACAATTATGGAATACCGAAGTCCTACGTAATAAGGAGACAGAACAGAAATTTCAAAAGGCTATAAAAATCGCTCTAGCACAGACAGAAAACTATAACAACATAGACTCAGCTTGGAAAAATATCAAAGTAGCTCTGACAAGCGTATCAGATGAAATACTAGGACACAAAAAGAAAACAACAAAAAAATGGTTCGATGATGATTGCCTGAACTCCATATTAGCAAGAAATATGGCTAGAAGGAACATGCTACAAAGCCCCTCACACAACAACAATGAAATGTATAGACAAAGAAGAACAGAGACAAGAAAACTAATGAAAAGGAAGAAGAGAGAGTATCAGGAACAAATAATCAGAGAAATAGAAGAAAAAAGAAAGAACAAACAAGCGAGGCAGTTCTTTAAAGGAGTTTCAGATATCAAGACCGGGTACCAAGCAAGAACAGGAAACTTTCTTCAAAACGACAGTGGACAGCTTATCACTGATGACAAGGAAATCTTAAAAACCTGGAAGGAATACTTCTATCAACTATTGAATGACCAATCTAGCAGAAGTACATCAAGCATAGAGGTACATACAGCTGAAATAGAAGACCAATACCCGACATACGAAGAAGTAATACAGGCAATTAAAAAACTCAAAAATAATAAGACACCAGGTAGCGATGGTATACCCGCAGAGTGCTTAAAACATGGAGGAGAAGCATTGTACAGTTCGATATACAAGCTAATTCAAGACATTTGGCAAGAAGAAACAATGCCAGATGAATGGAAAGAAGGGGTTATTGTACCAATACACAAAAAAGGAAACAAAAAGCAATGTATTAACTACAGGGGAATAACACTCCTAAACTCCACCTACAAAATCCTTGCAAACATCCTGCTAGAAAGAACCAAAACATACACAGAAGAAATTGTTGGAGATTATCGATGCGGATTTAGACCGGGCCGCTCTACAATTGACCAGATATTCACAATAAAACAGATAATGGAAAAATGCTGGGAGTTTGATCGTGAGCTTCATCAGATGTTCATAGATTTTAAACAAGCATTTGATAGAGTATGTAGGGACAGACTGTGGACAGCGATGCAGGAACTTGGCTTTCCAAAAAAACTAGTCCGGTTGATACGGATGTGTATGGAACGGTTACGATGTAAGGTGAGAGTTGGACAACAATACTCGGAGACATTTGAAATAAACAATGGACTAAAACAGGGAGATGCACTTTCACCACAACTCTTTAACTTAGCTCTGGAGCACATAATCAGAAGTGCAAGAATCGAAAAACCGAATACAGTATTTCATCGAGAAGGACCAAACTTACTACTGGCATTTGCAGACGATATAGATCTAATAGGAAACACGCGATTAAGGATGAAGGAGACTTTCGTAAGGTTTGAGAAGGAAGCAGAGAAGATGGGGCTCCAAATCAACGAAAACAAGACGAAATATATGTATATGAGCCGCAATAACCAAAGCAGAGACAGAATCGGTCAGAACATTACCATCGATGACTTTAACTTTGAGCACGTTAGGGAATTCAAGTATCTTGGAACAACAATAACTGAAGACAATAACGGATCACAAGAAATAAACAACAGGATTCAGGCCGGCAACAGATGTATTTTTGCCCTCCAAAACCTTATAAAATCAAAACAACTAACACGACGTACGAAGATACAGGTCTATAAAACAATCATACGACCCGTTGTGATGTATGGAAGCGAAACGTGGACGATGACAAACGCAAATGAAGAGAGACTACGTGTTTGGGAAAGAAAAATCCTAAGGAAGATCTTTGGTCCGGTGCTTGATGAAACATCAGGACAATATAGGATAAGAACTAATAAAGAGCTTGAAGAACTTTACCCAGACGCCAACATCATAAAAGAAATAAAGTCCAGAAGACTCCAATGGGCAGGACACCTCAGAAGACATTCTGACGAACGAACAGTAAGACTGGTGTGGCAGGAAGTCCCAACTGGAAGGAGACCACGCGGACGCCCTCGTCTCCGGTGGCGAGATAATATAGCAGGAGACCTAAGCACTATGGGCGTGGAGAATTGGATGGAGGTTGCTCAAGACAGAAAACAGTGGAGGCATGTTGTCGAGTCGGCTAAAACCCACAAAGGGTTGTAACGCCACGGAGTAAGTAAGGAGTAAGTAAGTATGATAAATGACATTGGAGGCTTTATTTCGCTATATAAAAATAAAGACGCACAGTTTTACAACGAACTGCAAATTTAGGATACAACATTACATACCAAAACAAATAGTGCTACCGGAGAAATTCCCACTATTTCTGTACTTTTTATAATAAATACAAAACATTGCAAAAATATACAATATATTATTGCAATGTTTATATGCGACCCCAAAATAATATTTAGCCTGACGCAAAATATCGAGATGCGTGCAGTAATCTTTTTTTGTAACCTAAATTTTTATTTTGAAATATTTGTAGACATCTAGGAAAGATTTAAAAAGTCAGAAAATTTGATGAAATTGTAAAGAGAATAGTAAAAACAACCATTTTATTTTCACACACAAACAGTTAAATAAAATCAGTTGGATTAACGTCAATCAAATCGTGGCTATCTTCACGTCTATATATTTTTTCTAATTTTCACGCGAATGAGTGGAGCTCGATTCTCAACCAAGGAGAAATTTTGTGTTTTATTAAATACAATATAATGAAATTAATGATAATCAAAATGAAGTCATCAATACTAGATAATAATGTAAATGATGACTAAATTCTACTTTATATTTAACACATTTTTAATAAAGTTTGTTAATTAAATTAACAAAGTTTTATATTTTTAATAAAGTTTGAATAATACTACTATACAATCTAAGAATACCATTATTCTTACAGATATTTATTTAAGAATTCCAATTTCCATTTGTTACGAAAACCTCGTTACATTGTGATTAAGTTTACACACGTTTACAACGTTTTAGTCAAGTCCTGAAGAATAAATGAATAAACCTTGCTCACAAAGTAAACTTAACGATTTTAATTGATTCATTACTCCTGGGGAACAATATTTCTCCTAATATAGCTCAATTGCCCATCGAAATAATATAAAATATTGTATAGGAGTTTTGGCTTAAGGTTAACTGTTTGCAAAATGCTAAGCTATGATAAATATTTTCAAAAAAAAAGTTTTGACTGCTTTTTGTTACTAGTGCTGTTGAATACTTTCAACCACGATGATTTTTAAGATCAAAAACTAACTCGAAAATTATATATCTCTTTATTATTATTTATTTGGGATTTTTGTTAAGTTTTTTGTTATATTATATTTTTGTAAAAATGTGATTTAGTTTAAAACACATCTTCTTAGATGTGTTGTATGAAATTGTAAAACATTCACAAGTTATTGATAAAGTTTTGATTGTTTTAGATTTTGTCGTAGAAAATATTTGAAATTTTGTTTTAATAATAAAATAAACATGTAGGTGTCTGTTATAAATAGTGTTTTATTAATAACCTTATTATATATATGCTCACTGACAACACGTGATAATTAAATGTGCGAGAATGCACATTATCCAGTCTAACATGGCTACACTTGGTACACATTCTTAGCAATTTTTTTTTCTGACAACTCAGATGATATGGTCTTATGTAGAGAATATTTTTTGCAAGACTTCCAGAACGTTAGAAGAGCTTGAAGGTTCCGAGCAGTCAAATCTACTGTCGGATCTTTTCTTTTATACTGTACCATTTTTAAATAAAACGGTTCTAAACTTAGCTAATTTTGAAGCTACCTATATATACAAGTTATTATGTACTAGAATATTCTAAAATAGTCCACCTCTCTTATTCTCGTCGAAAGCGCATCGAAGATGGGCGCTATTGAACTGCCAATACTTAAATATTCTAGATTTATTCTTCTAAGAATTGTGACACGTACTACGCATCATAGATGGGCTCTTTCGTTACACTCCTTCCCTCTTAGATCTGAGCGTCCCCATCAGCAACTCTAGATGTAGACCCAGGATGACGGAATCTACAGAACTCTCCAACTCTGCATGAACCCCTCAAGAAAAAATAACACTCTACTGACTTTGAAGGAAACGATATCATCGGGTTAATGCAACACACAGTAATTCGTACGTTAGTTAGGGCACGCCATATATCCTCGTAGCTTGCCCTGTCTGTATAAGACTTCCTGGTCACCATACTCAGCAAAGATCGAGAACCATCTTTAATCTCGGTACTCTTCCAACTTTAATCTGCTGATTTTTTAACTCGTCCAAACGACCGAACCTCTTGGAAAATACGTATGAAATTCCTTTAGTCATCTCAAGATCTTGGGCAACACAGTGGGTTAGAACGTTATGCGGAACACTGAAAAAATCCTGGTAAACATCTGTGCGCACGCCGAATCTAGCACTCTTTCTCTCTGCGTAACTTGACATAAATTAATTAAAGCTTGGTTGCCGGTTATCTTTGATCTCATGTTGAAGGGTGCGTACTTCTTCTGTTTCATTTGAGCCAGCATAAGGTCCCAGACGATTTATGTGAACTACTTTTGGTTTACCTTTCGGCAACTTCTTAATATCGGTATATTACGTCATTTATTCTCTTTTTAATTTCATACGGACCTTCCCATTGTCTTTGCAATTTAGGAGAAAAGCTCCGATGACGTTGTGGATTAAAAAGCCAAACAAGATCACCTACTTTATAGTTTCACCTACGAGCGGTTTTAATTTATGTAAACATATTTATTTCTAAGCTTACAGTGAGGTAGTATCTTAACAACTAAACTTAGCTCATGTTGGAGCTACTTATATATACAAGTTATTATGTACTAGAATATTCTGGAATAGTCCACCTCTATTCTTCTCGTTGAAAGCTTATCGAACACTTGAATATTCTAGCTTTATCATTCTAAGAATTATGACACGTACTACGCATCGGAGATGGGCTATTTCGTTACAATAAACTTATCGATGTGACTGATCTTTTTTAACAAAGCATGCCAAAACGATGGATTTAAGCTTACCAATATTTTTTAATATCTCTCATACATCAGGGATCGGAAATACTTTTACCCATTACTGTGTCAGAAGTAAGTGCAGCTTTAAAGGAAATGAAGAATCATTGATCACCTGGTGATGATGGACTCGAAATTATAGAAAATTATAGACCCATCAGCCTCTTGACACATATGTACAAACTCTTTATGAACATCTTAACAAAGAAGTTAACACCTAAAGTTGATTTCTATCAGCCCAAAGAACAGGCAGGTTTCAGGGCAGGATATGGCACAAATGACAATTTGCATACCATAAAGATCTTAATAGAAAAGTACATCGAGTACAACATACCACTGGTTCTTACAT